AAAGCAATGAACAGAAGTGGGATACCTGTGGACTGACAGAGCTGTTATCTTTGGCTTCCCTAACGCGTTCCCTCCTCCCGGTCCCTCTTTTTCTGATAATAGTCCTAGCTCCTTGACCACAGGAGTGGCCTGATGCCAGCTTGACACACTGGAGTCCTCTAGGGGCCTGTATAATGAATGACTTTGGAGGAGAATTGGTCTCTTTCTTGGAGTGGTTCATTTGACACTGCCCATGGCCAGCTTTCCTGCCACGTGGAGAGTTTGCAGAACAAAGCCCAAGCAGAGACCAGCATAGACAGAGATGAAGGAGAGCAGCCCAGGTCCCTCTATGCTGTGAGGTAATAGTTATCCTTCCTGGCACATGAGCCAGTGCATTCTTGTCCTGCTTAAACAAGCTTAAGTTGGATTTCTGTTCTTTGGAATCAATACAATACAAAGTATTTTAAACCTCCACTTAAAACTCTCTTTAGCTTAGCTGTTCTTTTGAAAGTTATTTGCAGCAAACAATTCGAGTTTCAGAATCTGAAACTCCCTATATTCTGTGCTGTTGCCTGAAATGAGATCAATGGACCTTAGATGCTGGTGTTGGTTGAGAAGTTGTGATGATAATTAAAAAGACTGGTGTGAATTCTCACTAGAGGAAGGCCCCACCTTGAGCTGGATCAGGGGTACCCACAGGTGCTTTGGATTTCTCTTATATCTTCATTAAGTACTAGATGGGTCCTGCAACAGAGGTCTACACCACAAAGCCTGGGAAAACCTGAGGCCAGCAGATTCTGAAGAAGGTGCTACCATAGCCAGTCATTTTGGTTTGTCATAATTGATAAGGGCTTATCTTTCTGAAGGCATTTGCTCAACTGGTTCCTCTGCCTTTTTAAGACATGTCCTAGAATAAGAGCTAAGCTCAAGGCATCATAGCTTGGAAGCTTGAACTGTTTGTTGTGGTAGGAAGGTATGCACTGAGTTTATCTAAAAACAATATTCAGGAATTAAACAGGAGGTCTTAGGAACAACCTTGTTTTACACGCTTTAAGATAAGAATTTACCCGATGTAAAGATTCTGGAGGGGAAACTGCAATAAAGGTTTTCAGGAATGTAGAAAGCTCAGAATTGGCATTAGCCCATAGACAATTCCTATCCACTAAATTAAAATCTAATAAGAGACTGATGCATGCATAAGTCTTGAATTGTTAGGTAAGGACCTTGCTAAAGCTGGACATTGTAAGGTTGCTATAAAACTCACTTTCAAGGTTATGTAGGCCGATACAGCTCTGGGAAACCAATTCTTATTTAGCCAGCTGCTCAGAAACTAACTTCATCATGGTTGTGAGTACTCCATCATGGTATGTAGACTCATTTCCAGAGAACCTCTCAAAAGCTACCAAACGAACTTTCACAAAAAGGCATTTTCTTCTCAGCTCAGATAGCTTATCATTGGTTTCAATCTCTCAAAAAGTCAGACATCCCTTTAAAATTTAACCATATTCCAATGTTTGCTACTAGGCACAGTCCCTAGGCCTCTCTCATTCAAAACCAATTTAATTGCAAAAGATGAGCATACTATTTCTTCTGTGTGATCCTCAGAACCCCCATTCTGTAAACAAACACAACTATTAAAAAAATCACTTCCTAAAGTATATATCTAATCGCTGTTTTACACCTAAAATTTATATCTATTGTATGTCAACTGTAATTAAAGAATGAATTTTAAAATATTCTTCTAGCTGTCTTTTTTTTGTTTGTTTTGTTTTTTTAAGGCATAGAGATCAGAGAGGACAGACAGGAAAAAAGGCATTTGTGTCTTTTATCTGAAGATTTCCTTCCGCATAAACTTGTATAATGGCTCTAGAGTAGGACTTAAGGGGTTCAAATCCTCCAGCTATTGATTGATAGCTGTGTTATCTTGGAAGAGTCATAATCTCTCTGAACTCCGGTTTCCTCCTCTGTAAACAGGGAAACAATAGATATTCGCACCGCATGCAAAGCTCAAAACACAGGGTCGTCACGTGGTAAGCGCACAACTTTTATATTTACACTTGATGACTCCGGAGGCCTGGAGGTACAATTCCTACTTGATTAATTAAAATACATCTCACTTTTACCACGAGCTTGCCCTTTCCTCAGCCTTGCTGAGACCTTTTCTCTTTGAAAATATTTTGTACCAATCAGTAGGAAAGGATAGAGCCAGCCGGGAGGCCGCCGCTGGCCCGAAAGCCTCTGGCTTCTCCTTTGAAAGAAGCGTCCCCAACACTAGCGCACGCGCGCCCAGATCTGGCCCGCGGGCGGTGGCCTGTGCGTGCGCTTGGAAGGGTGGTGGCGGCCCGCACCCCGCCCTCAGCCGCCGCCGCCCCTGCGTGTCAGGTGCCGTGAGAAGCGCCGAGGGATATGACTGCAACCGACTTTCCAGAAGCAGCGCACGCAAGGCACAGCTCCGCACGCAAGGGGGAGGCGACAGCAAAGGAAACTTTCAACCCGATAAACTTCTCAGGCGCGCGGCGATTTGCCTCCTCCTCCTCCTCGTTCCCCTCCTCCCTCTGGGAATCTTCAGAGCGCCCTCCCTCTCCTCCTGTCCCTCGCGTTTGCCACAGCGAGGCTCCAGGGCAGCGCCAAAGGCCACGGACAGAGCCTGCACCGCCCGGCGTCCTCCAGTGGGAGGCGTCAGTTTCTACGCGGGAAACCTCAGGGCCAGACGCGCCCGCCAGAGCTGGCCTTTGTGTGCCAGGGACAGTCGGAGCCTCGGGGCAGGGGAGAGGCGTCTTGCAGAGATTCTTGATGTCTCTGCACGAGGTGGATGGTGAACTTTGCGCACCAAAGGGCCTCATGAGGGCCATTTGTTTGCCGGAACGTTAAGATAAAATAACTAGGTTGGCTGTAAGACAAACCACCATCACGAACCGAACTTTCCTCATTTCCAAATTGACAGTTTTCTTTTACCGGATTTGGGGGCCCAAAGATCCAGAGCAGTGTTCTCTCGGGAAACGAAGCTCGAGTCACTGGGAGAGAAGGGAGTTTCGGGGCGCGCTCCCACGGAGAGCGCAGCGTGATGGGCAGCTTCTGTCCTGAGCGTGCGTCCGGGGAAACCGTGCAGCCACCTTTGGGAATGATAGTGATTAAGTTTGGCTTTCTGGAAAACGAAAAGTTCATGCCGTCGCTTTTAGTAAAGCCACCGGCTATTTCACCAATGCCGTCGGGGCGCGCCTGGCCCGCCTTGCGTGACACGCGCGCGGCGATCCCACTTAGAATCCGAACCGCGTGGACCGTCCCGACGCAACCCGCCCCGCCCCCCGCAAGCACCGCCCCCGCCAGGTCCCACTGCCTCCTCCCTCTATACAGACCTTTAAAACGGGATGGCGCGTTTTGACTCTCTGGAGTGACTGTATGCAAACGGGCCACGCCTCTGCGACGCCAGCTGTCAGAGCCGCGCGGGGGGCGTGAGGGCTGGGTATTGACTCCCCTCATCGACCCTCAACCTCAATCCCCACGCTGTAAGAAAACTCCGACTTTGTTGAGGCCTCAGGTGTAGCAGGGCTCCGCAGAGGAGGCACCTTCAACGTCCCCATCCCAATCTAAGTGCCTCTGGCTCTGACGACGCCTCGAGACTGCAGGGTGGGTGCTAAGGCTCGCAGAGCTGGTAGCAGGTGTCCGGGGCGGGCCTCTAACTTCCCGGAGACACTCAGGTTGACATCTTGTCCTTCTTGGAGTTGGCAGTCCCGTGCCGCTGGAAACCGCGCCTCCACGCAGGTTAGTCGGCCCGCGGAGCCGCCTTCCCGCGGCACCTTTTGTTGGGTTCTCGCAGATCCGGACTGGGGTCGGGTGCAGGGGCTGGGATGATAGGCACTTAGAGGGAACTGAGCGCCACTGTCTCGATGGCCGTCTTGTTGCTCTTGAATTGCAGGAACCGTTAAGCGACTGGATTAGAGGGAGGGCTCGAGGCAGCGTCACAGAGGAGCTGAAACGCGCCCCTTCCCTTCTCCTTTGGGGAGTGGGTTTGGGACGAGAAGGGAAGTCTTCAGCTGCTTCTCCAGCGAGGTAGCCCTGACCTGACCTATGTACAACTTCCCTATCCAACAGCGCATGGTAGTCCGAGGCCACCGGTTGGGGCGTGGGGTGGCTGCTCCTTTTTCTGCACACCTGAGTGTCACGTCTTTGCCCTTCTCTCTCCAGCATGGCCACCAGCGTCAGCGTGGACGATCTTCTGCTGCCGATCTCGCTGTCCTCCCAGCAGACCATGCTTCTGCTGCTCCTCTCGGTGCTGGCCGCCGTGCACGCAGGCCAGTGGCTGCTGAGGCGGCGGCGGCGGCAGCCAGGGTCCGCGCCCCCGGGTCCCTTTGCGTGGCCGCTGATTGGAAATGCGGCGGCCCTCGGTCCCGCGCCGCACCTTGCGTTCGCGCGCCTAGCGCGGCGCTACGGCGACGTCTTCCAGATAAGACTGGGCAGCTGCCCTGTGGTGGTCCTGAACGGCGAGCGCGCCATCCGCCAGGCCCTGGTGCAGCAGGGAATTGCCTTCGCCGACCGGCCGCCCTTCGCCTCTTTCCGCGTGGTGTCGGGTGGCCGCAGCCTGGCTTTCAGCCAGTATTCTGAGCTCTGGAAGGCGCAGCGGCGCGTAGCGAACAGCACGATGCGCGCCTTCTCCACGCGCCAGCTGCGCAGCCGCCGTGTCCTCGAGGGCCACTTGCTAGGCGAGGCGCGTGAGTTGGTGGAGGTGATGGTGCGCGGCAGCGCGGGCGGCGCCTTCCTAGACCCGCGGCCGCTGGCAGTGGTGGCGGTGGCCAACGTCATGAGCGCGGTGTGTTTCGGCTGTCGCTACAGCCACGACGACCCCGAGTTCCGCGAGCTGCTGAGCCACAATGAGGAATTCGGGCGCACGGTGGCAGCGGGCAGCCTGGTAGACACGCTACCCTGGCTGCAGCGCTTCCCCAACCCGGTGCGTACCGCGTTCCGCGAATTCCAGCAGCTCAACCGTAACTTCAGCAACTTCGTCCTCGACAAGTTCCTAAGGCACCGCGAAAGCCTGCAGCCCGGCGCCGCCCCCCGCGACATGATGGATGCCTTCATCCTCTCGGTGGGAAAGCAGGCGGCGGAGGGCTCGAGCAACCACGGCGCGCGGCTCGACGCGGAGTACGTGCCGTCCACTGTCACCGACATCTTCGGCGCCAGCCAAGACACTCTCTCCACCGCGCTGCAGTGGCTGCTCATTCTTTTCACCAGGTAAAGCCTCCTGGTGTGGGTCGGGCCTTCCTTTCCTCCTATAAAAGGTGGAGTGGGACTGAAATAGGCCGAGGTCACGACCTCCGCGCAGGGAGGGTTTGAAGTTTCACTCCAGGTCCCCACCTCTCAAATCTGAGATCACACATCCCGAAAGCGCAGCTTGGGAAGGCACAATGCGTACCGAGACACGTGAGCGCGCGCCGCCCTCCCACCAGCCCCGCCAGGACCGCTCCGCCTCTCAGATCTTGCCGCTACCTCTCTGAGTGGGGACAAATTTGTGAGAAACCCCTTGGAAAAATGAGATTTTTCAAGTGCCCGCAGGTCAGCCCCGATCTCTTCCTCCCTGACAGAAGAAGCAAAATTGGAACGGTTCCGAAAGAAAGGGTAACGCGGTAAATATGTCAAACACGGCAGCCTAATCGGCTCGACCAGCTCCCGGCGCGGATCCGAGGCCACCCAGCTCTGGCGCTCAAAGCCAGCACGCGTCTCGGCTTTGTTCTCGGGCAAAGGAAGCTTTAGGACGGCAGTCCGGTGGTCCGCAGACCTGGGCTTGCGGACGGTTAACTCGCCTGGAAGCTTTAGGAAGGCAGCCAGAAACCAGCGGGTTGTGCGGTTGCATAAAACCGCCGGGCTAGTGATAAGAGAGGGTCGGGTAAAGAATTGGAGAACCAGTCGCTTTTACCGAGCTCAGAACAGCAAAGGCAAATATCGTATCTAAGAGGCCCCAGCGGACCTCTCTGATCCTTGGGCCCGGCTGGATTGGTTAGCTGGGACCGGCTGGGTTGGTTAGCTGGTCTCCAGTGCCCACGTTGATTAAGGTCGCGGACCTCTATGAAGCTCTGAGCAGGCGCTCCAACAGGTTTCTGGTATTGGGTATTGCCAGATTTATCAAATAAAAAACTAAATTTTACATAGGAGATACTTATAAGAAGATTAGCCATGGTTTATCTGAACTTCAGATTTAACCGGGCGGCCTCTATTTTGTCTGGCAACCCTACCTCAGGGGCAAATGTCTCGCTTAAGGCAAATCTTGATTGCCTGGAGAGACTAGAAATCCTGGTTGTGTTATTTCTTGGAGCACAAGTTAGCGGTGGGGAATGCTGAATTTGCTGGAGCCTCAGAAATTGAAAGGCAAAGACAGCTGCTTTTTTTAAATTCAAATCCACTGCAGCCCTTAGAAACTATATGGTTGTTTTCACAAATTGAATTTTTTGTATATTTAAAATCACTTTTCAGTATTATGATCATAGAAACACCTATGGGGGACAGAAATTGAATAAAGAGAAGTCGATAATTAATCATCCCAAAATGGGATTAATAGGCCCTTAGCATCCCCAGATAAGCATGTTATCTTTTGAAACCAACTTTGTTTTTTATTAGAAACAGATTGATCAGCAGAAGGAATAAACAATTTTCGGGTTACTTTCAATACAATGTAGTTGATGAGTACTTTTTCTTCTTTTTAGTGAAAAGACAATATGACAGAGATTGGCAGGTTACACTACTTATTTCTGTATCTTTGATAAAATTTATAAAATACATTTATGTATTGTCTGTGACTGCTTTTACATTACAGCACAAAGCAGAATTGAATAGTTGCAAGAGAGAGGGTTTGGTCTGCAAAGCCTAAAATATTTACTATCTGGCCCCTTATTAAAAAGTTTGCAGACCCCTGGAGTATGATGCTAATGAAGCAATTTTTAAAATCATTTCATCACATACATACTTAAATTTTTTCAGAGTTGCAATAATTATTTACATTTTTTTACTTCTGACATTTTCACTTATTGCAATGGACATTTCCCCATCTTTTAAACTTATTTTAGTAATTTTTAAAAAATCTTTATTTTTTTATTGATTGCAAAAGTATCCACCATAGTAATTTTCGATGGTTACATAATATTTTGCCATAATAAGATATCACTTTATAAAATCATTTTTTGAGCTTTAATGTTGATTACATCTTTAAAATTTCAGCTATTGTTGGGGTTATATATTTATGTGCCTGTTATTCCCTGAAAATACATTATCTAAACATGGATTACTGGGTTTAAAAAGAGTGGTGAAGGGTTGCCCTTATGGATATTGCTTTATACTAAGATTTTGTTTTCCGAAAGGATTGTGCTAGTTTATATCACCAACAGTGAATAAGTATTACAGTTTGTACCATAATCTCATGAATGCTAGGAATTTGCTTTTACATTTAGAAGATCTGTAGCTTTATTTATCAGGATACTAACTATTTTCGTATAAAATCAGAACAGTAGGAAGATGAGAAAAAAGGATCTTTTTCAGGGATGCATTTTAACTTTTGTGGGCCCTGGGTGCTTTTGTCTTTGTAGACTCTTTACTCCATAAAAAATATTTTTAATTATATTTTATGACTACATTGGTATAAAGATAAATATATCTAAATTATATATGAAAACATTTTTAATATATAATTTAAAAACATTAAAAAAGTTCATTTTTTTTCCCCCTTCTGATTTTGAAAGTAATGAAAACCTTTTCATGGGCCCCGGAAAAGTATCGTAGATCCTGGACGCTGTGCCTGCTGAGCCTAGTGGAGAAGTTGGCTTTGTCCATCACCATGCTTTTTCAGGCCAAGAAAAGTTAGACCTTTTTTGACTTGTGATGGGAAAGATAGCATTAGCCATGGGAAGCTTATTAAAGGGAATATAACTTTTAACTTACTCATCTTGTAATTTAGTGAAAAATTAAGAAATTGTTTTAGTTTTTTTTGGGGGGGGGCAGAAACGTTCATTCAGTCACTGATTCAGATAAAAAAAGTGGGATTCACATAAATCGTAATGTGCTTTCTAGATGAGAGAAAAATGAATTTTCCTCACTGTATTCTCCCTCTACATTGAAAACCAAACAGGTACCCTGAAGTGCAGGCTCAGCTACAGGCAGAATTGGATCAAATCGTGGGTAGAGACCGTCTGCCCTGCCTGGACGACCAGCCCAACCTGCCCTACGTCACGGCCTTTCTTTATGAAGCCATGCGCTACTCCAGCTTTGTGCCCGTCACCATTCCTCACCATACCACTGCCAACACCTCTGTCTTGGGCTACCACATTCCCAAGGACACGGTGGTTTTTGTTAACCAGTGGTCAGTGAATCACGACCCAGTGAAATGGCCTAACCCGGAGGACTTCGACCCTACTCGGTTCCTGGACAAGGATGGCTTTGTCAACAAGGACCTGGCCAGCAGCGTGATGATTTTTTCAGTGGGCAGACGGCGCTGCATCGGGGAAGAGCTTTCCAAGATGCAGCTGTTTCTCTTCATTTCCATCCTGGCTCACCAGTGCAATTTCAAGGCCGATCCAGATGAGTCCTCGAAATTGGATTTTAATTATGGCCTGACCATTAAACCCAAGTCATTTAAAATCAATGTCACTCTCAGAGAGTCTATGGAACTCCTTGATAGAGCTGTCCAAGCTAGAGAAGACTGTCAGTGAGAAGCCAGAAGCAAGCTGGAATTTTAGAAGTACTCAGTATTTGGGGGATAGGGAATAAGATTTTCTAGGTCCTCTGTGCCACTTTCTCAGCTGGCCTCTAATGTGAGCAGAAACCTACAGAAACGAACCAGCAGCTGTGTTTTACAGATGTATCCTCAGATCAGCAGTGGGCTCTGCAAGAGCTCTGGGAAGATTTTTTGAGTCAGAGTTAAAGGGCTCAGAAAATTTTTATACATATATAGAATGCTGGTAATAATTTTCTGAGGGAGCATTCTTTGGAATTAAAACGCATGCACACACACATACACACAGAACCACCCGATGAAGAGGTACTTCCAATAACCTTGGCATCTAAGATCGATATTCTGTGTGCTAAAATCTGCTCCTTAGAAAACCATATTATGCAAAGTTTCGGAATATGTTGTTAAATATGCAAAGGCAAATGATTACAGCATAAGACATGTGATTGAGGGTGAGAAGGAAAAAGTAAGACCAGAGAGTCCCTTCTCACCTTTTCAGTAAAGTAGCTGAGGCAGTCTCTGCTATCTATGGATGGATTTATCTTTTTGCCTACTGATGTGCTTTCTCTTATTTTTTTGGATGGCTCATGAAGTCATTTGCTCAAAAAGAAATTAATAGTTATTGGTTTAGTGATTATAGTGGGTTTCAGTGGTTTATTATGAATTTTAAAGTGTAAGTTGTTAAATTGTCAAAAATTTCAATCTGTTTTGGTTGCCAAAGTACCGAATCTCAGTTATGAGCAAAAAGAAAACAACCAAAACAATAAAAACCAAGATTTACCAGCCCAGCTAAGTTTTAAACTATGTGATTGCAATACACTGATTTCAATACATCTTATAGATTAAAAGTCACCAAATAGTATTCAGTATGTATACATATATTATTATTCATAGGCAATATATATTAGTTATTTTATTATTAAATAGTATTAATTATTTTGGTCAAGAAAAGATTGAATAATGTATACCTTTTATAATGTCATAGCAAATTGAAAAGTACAACTAATTCAACTATATTTGGCTCACATACACGAAATGAGCTTGATTAAATCAACTATCTTTTTTTTTTTTTTTTTCTTGACATCATGGAAACCAAGTTGAAGCAAAGGCTTTTTCTCTCATCCAAAACTTGAGAAAACTAAAAAATCTAAAAATTAGATCTCTAAGATATGTTACTTATTACTTTATAACATTTATTATGATTATATTTGTAATACAGAAATCTCTTTTCCAAAATCAATCTAGTTAATATGTTGTAATTCCAAACTCTTGGCATGCTTAAATTTTAATTTAATTTTAAAGACATTTTGATTATTGAGTTCCAGTTTAACTTACTGGAAATCTGACCATTAGCCTATAGAAGGCAGAGAAATATAACCTGTGTTTGCCTGATGAATAGTGAAAAATGCAACAAATTATCTGGATGTTCTCTTTATTAGGTAACAAGGGAGAAAATTCTCTTTATAACAGACCTAGTTTTTCTTTTAAATGGTTTTTAAAAAATAGTGCTAATGTCAGCATTTTGAAAAGCCAGAATCAGAAAGCAGTCTTGGGAGACTGTTTTAAGAATTGTATCATGTACCAGTGGAGCTGAGCAGATCAGATGCAACCTAGTGGCCTGTCGCTTTGGTAACTGTGAAAACATAAAGCTTGAACAAAATGTATACGTTCAGTTTATGTAAATAATCTGAAACCTTAAAAAAGTGGTAGCAGATCGTAAAATACAAAATGAAGTTTGAAGTTTTAACTTTCACTGCATGTAAAAATCCAAAGGAAGTTGTGCTTACGGCTTGTTACATTTTATCAAGCTTTTGGAATCTTTTTATCAAAATTATAGAAGAAGAAGTATATAATGGTTATGGGGGAGTAGTAAGAGAAAAGAGTGAAAAAGTGAAAAAAGAAAAAGATGGTTCATTCCAAATTAATTAATTTGAAGTATGAATATTTAGAAAAACTATGTTTCATGTGCCAGTGTTAAATCCCAAGTAGAGTTAAAAAAAATCCACAGTGTAGCATAACTGTTTTGTAATTTGAAATTCTTTACTATTTAAAATTTCAGATAATTTTGGTAATATCTTATAGTTGTACCTCTTTGAAAACCTTTGTGGCAGTGTTTTTAAAGGCACTAAAGTCAACTATAGAAATCGGGCTTACCAAATACGTTTACTTTTTTTTGGCACTGGCAATTCCAAAATATTATTATCCTTCCGCCCACCCAGTAGAGCTGAAACAGTGATTTTGGGCTGTCGTAGCCTACTTAATCTGAGAGATGTGTGACAGAAAAAGTAATCATGTGCCAATCTGGATGCCTCATTAAGTCAACCAGATCCAGATGTGCTATAATCTGTTTTTCTGTCGGTTTTATGTATGTGGGCTCAGTTTATCTGGCACTTTCAGCAATGGGAAAGCTGTGCTTATACAGAAAAAAGTAAGGTGGGTTCTTGGTGGTTAGCTGATTTATTTAATATGTTTATAACCTAGTTAAAGGAAGGAAGCAAAACCAAAAACAAATAAATATAACCAAATTCGGGGGCTACCGTAATCATGTTAACTGGCTTAATGAGAAAACCTCATTTTATTTATGCCAGAGAAAGAATGTATTTACTGGTCACCATTATAGTCAAAACATCTCCAGATTATTGCAATGAAGTATATTGTTTATTAAATGTTTCATTTACATATTAAAGCTTTGACTTTGTAAGAAAATTGCTGTTTTCCAAAACAAAAGATGTCTCAGGTTTGTTTTGTGGATTATCTAAAAGCCTTCATGTCTCAGAACTTAGCCTTTACCTGTGAAATGTTATTACAGCCTTAATATTTTCATAGTAGATCTATATTAAGTCAAATAGTTGCATAGCATTATATACTAATTTGTGTGTTTTTTGCTATGACACAACGGTGTGATAAAAGGTATACTTTATTAGATGTTTGTAAATCAAGGATAACTTTTTATTTAACCTTTTCTTATTTTTGTATTCTATCATTTATGCTTTTAATATGTACATAGTGACTGTAATGCATAGTTGTACCTGAAATAGATTTTGAGGACAAAGCATTACTATATAGTTTTTACTGTTTGATATACCAAACTAAAACAGTTCTGTATCTAATTACCTATGATAGGACACTATTACCAAAATAATAAAAATCACTTTCATAATCTTGTTATGAAGTTTTACTTTATGTTTTAGCAAATATAGTCAAATGCACCTATTCATTTCAACTACTGTTTATAAGTGTTTCAATTAAAATGTTGCATTGTAAACATTTTATTTGGCCATTCTATATTTTAGGCTGCTTTCTGTCTTTTTTTTTAAAGTAGACTTTCAGCATCCAGTTACCTGCCAAATTCCTGATCTCTATACTTTTGAATTTATAAAACCAAAACAGAAATTAAATTTTAACAGAAAACAACAACAGTGTCAAAATTAATGGGAATTAATTTTTAATTTTGAAAGATTGAATAGATTGATACTTTTAAGACTCTGACCTTATATTTCTGCTTCATTTAAAAAATTCAGAACACATTTTTTTCCTTTCAACAGCACACTAATCCTTTTCTTGACATTTTCGTTCATTCTTTTTTATATATATATATGAAAGCCTTTGTTTTTAATTTGGTTACTACGCATTTATTCACTTTTTAAGATACATGTGTTTTAATAAGGGCGATTAATGTCCATTAAAATGGAGGAGCGTATTCTGTAATACACTATGTGGGGATATTTTTCTGCTGACGTATTTACCTGGTAAAAGACTTGGCTTCACTGTGTCCCTAATGTAATTCTCCAGGCCTGCACTGCCCAGCCCTCACAGGCTATGTATGGCAGGGATATACAATGCCAAGGGCCCTTATTTCTTCCAGACTTTAGCTCCCGTTACTGTGAAAACAGGAAAAGACATTGTGAAGTAAAATTGTATGCCAGGTTATTGATACTTTGGCTTGAGAACATCACTTTAGCAGCCAAAGGTATGGCTAGGAATGTGTTTAAGAGAGAGTGTTCACTTGTTTTCCAGATATACTAACATAGGATCTTGGAAATTGTCATAAAGGTTGAGGACAAGTAAAATAAATATTTTCGTAGGAAAAAAACTTCTTTAACAACATCATAATTGGGGTCAGGTGTTCACAAAGATGCTAATTAGAGCTGAATTCTACCCAATCAACCCCCTGGAATATCAGACTGGAACAAAGGGTGGGAAATGAGTGCAGCTTTGGACACAAGACAGGCTTGGTTGTTGCAAACTCATAGATGTTATTTCTATAACCTCGAAGCCAGTCAATTTTTCTGCAAAAGTGCTACAGAAGTTTTGGTTGTTAACTCTCCCTTATTTTGGCTCAGTGACGCACGTACTCTGCTCTCTGGTTTTGACCTATGAGTTACAATTCTCAGAGAAGGGAAGAGAAAGAAAGGAAATTAATATTCACATACAGTCAGACTGGAGGAAAATAATCTGGTTTAAATAGGTATGGAAAAGCTATAGGCAAACAGCAGCTTATGCCTCTAGCTCCTTTTATTCACTCACATACAGGCTGCATGGGCTTCATTAACACTTTTCAGTATGTGCCAGGTATAAGTGTAAAAAATGGAACTAAAATATGTTGAGCACTTATATATGAATCACCATGCTAAGCGCTTGATTGCATTATCCCACAACAATCCTGGGAGGGGGGCAGTAATGTAACATGCCAAAATTATACATTTAGAAGTAGCAGGGTCTGAATTTTCCCTAGAGATGAACTGACTCCAAAGCCTGTTGTCTTCCTGCTATATAGCTTGTCACTCCCCAACCTACCCACGTTTGGGTATACAGTCTAGTCAGGTATACAGTCTAGATCATTTTAATCCCTATGATCCTTGGGGTTCCACAAGCAATGTACCTCCTTTGTCCAGGGTGCATTCCACACCACATCCAGGGAGTAAATGACATTGTGAAGTGCCAGGAAGATTCATAACGCTTCTCTCTTCTGAGAAGCATCTTCAAGCTATTCCTTAAGTAAAAAGGAAAAATAGAGAGGAGAAAGAAAAGAAATCATGTTTTATTTTACAATCCTAAAACCTTTGTTCTATAATCTGTTTGGGCCAGGGACCTTTGCCTGAGCAAAGGCTATCCATAGGTTGGACCAATTGCCTGTGAAGTGGCCTGATTTGAGAACTCTCTCTCTGATAGGGCTGCATCGC